AAAAAAAAAAAATTCCAATTTTCAAAAATGTTTTTTAATTCTCAGGTTCAAAGATGATGACAAAACCTTGTCGAAACGTTGTACATTTGCTGTTATATTAAAGTTTTTCTTCATTACCCATTCAAGCCGTCTCCAGTCATTATTACACTAGAATATTGTCTTTGCTTAATATATTTGATGTAAATTATGAAACTAAAGTTATCTTTGACATTTATTCTGTAATTTATTAATTCAGCTAATTGAAAAACAATCAACAATTGAATAAATACTACTGGAATATTGTGACAGTGAAAAACCTTTTATTCATATTCCAACTTTTCGGATTACTCCTTCATTAAAGTGATGGCTGCTGTAGCGCGTCAGTAAAAATATATATTTATTTAGAGCTAAAAGTCATTTATGCGCTTAACTGATAAGTTAGTTTAAAATATATGAGTTTACATTATATTTGAATTTCAAGTAAGGAAGGTAATAATACAATTGATAATTTTTTGTACAAATAATCAATCTATCAAATAATCAAAGCTATATAGGTATAATACTCAATATCAAGAGCTGTGAAGGACTACGAATTTGATAATCAGTATCGAGAGAGGTCAATAATTACGAATTTAACACTCAATATGAATACTGCTTTTAATGACAGCTATGTTCAAATCACTATTAGGAGTCAATGAATTTCTCGATACATCACTTTTCTATCTCGTAAGGAAGTATAAAATCCTATCATATAATTATCAATATACATTCGAATTGTCTGTTACAAACTATTACCAAGTGCAGGCCTCAGTACCAAACTCTGATACAACATACGTTGAAACATCATTTACAAACTAAGTATAGAAGACTATTAATTATTTGAAAATCATTCCTATTTATTGCCCCTTGAAGGAAGGTTGAATTTAAATGTATGTTGATTAATTTTATTAAATGTTAGTAAAAACTAGTAATTTAAAAAGAAGAAAAAAGGGAAAGTACGTATTTAAAAATTCATGCCAAAATGGATGACATCAATAAAAAAAGTTGCAACTGTTTAAACTTCATTATTAAAATGAAAAATATATGTTGATTACTGATCTAGCGCATATCGAAATTTATTTATCATTCGCATTATAAAACTGGATCACAGAAAAAAAATCATTTATATGTTAAATAAGTCTTCAAAAGCAGAGAAATTTAAAAGGTCGTTGAAATGCGTTCAATAAGGTCATCTCTTTTATATGTCTGATTCTCTCTATCACTGACCAATTAAAACTGCACACGTGTTATTACTTAGGAATCACAATAAAATCTGATTACCGAATACATGGATGACGAAGATCCTCCAATCACCCCAAATCTGGAAACCGAATCAAAGTTTTTACTGGGAAAGTAATTAGATTGGCCACCATATAAACTCCCGGAACAGTTGATCGAGCCTGACAGGTTGGGAGCCGGGGATCCCAGCCCGCTGGACGCCGGGTATCCGTATTCGTCCACACTGTTCTCTTGTTTGATGAAAGGAGCAAAAGGTGAAGTAGGCGAAGATCTGGGGCACCGCGGAAAAGTCACATCGGGTTGAAGCAGTTCGAGACAAGATTGCATGTGCATGGGGAGAGAAACGTGGCCTATAAGCCAAAGCACGGGCAGCTCTTCTTTACTATGATCCGGTATGGGTAACAGACTGATATCACTAGCTTCTTCTCACCACTGTCTCAAGAAGCAGACTGTTGTGCAGCTGCAGACGTCTTAAAGACAGAACGGATCGGATCGGAGCGCGCACGCTACAACTATCCAGTCACACCTCCCGGGGAACAGACACACAGAGCAAACGCAATTCTTTACTTAGATTTCTGCGGGCAGTCTGAGTAGCCGCGCAGCCAACTCAAGACCCGCCTGCGTGCCCGCGCTCAGCGGATTTCTGTGATCTCGACCAGTCACCAATTGGGCCCAGCTTACATTTAAGCAGTCTGACTAGCTGAACGCCCAGCGGAAATCTCCAATTTTTTCTTTTTTTTTCTCTTCTTCTTTACAATGGAGACACTTGACTAGAATGAAGGCTGCGCTGCTGTCTTCTCGTGTTCTCTATTATCAGTATGTGTGACTCGCTGCCCTTTCGGGCTCACGTGCTGACTCTGCTGCAATATAAGACTCTGCATTAACAACTCATTCCCACTTCCTCAAATTAAATCTTTCCAGCAAAAAAGCACTTCATCTAAGACCAAAAAGATGGATGTACCTAAGGCACGAAACATTTCAAAACTAGGACTACCAATCACAGTGTTCAGAAATCGACTCAAAATCAATAAACTATCTGTTTAGATGATACAACTCTTCGCAAGAAACATTATTTCCTTCACTGTATTGCTGTCATATGGTCTAGATAGATAGATTTCATTACCTGCTGGCTGGCTAGCTAATTTGTAGTGGTTTGATTACAATAGAAGCCCATCTAAACTGTACTGCTAAACTCAACAATAATTACTCCACCAGAGAGGGAATCATTCTTAGCGTTTGTACTATATTAGTGAAGTTCAACAAACGAAAGTAAATTTATACTTTATTGAACCAACAGGATGTCTATCAGCGTTCCACAAAAGATTTGATTCAAATATGTTAGTTATGACATTCGTTGCTTTTTTACAATTTACAAAGAGTTCTTTCTATTTGTTATTTATGTAATCTTCCTGTATCGAATATTTTGTAACAGTTACGTAACAGAGGTTTCACAGGAAAAACTTGCCGTAGAATTCAGCTCATATTTAAATAATCAAGTGCAGATCATATGTTGAACATTAGAACTTACTTAATTAAGTAAAAATTTTATCATTTACTCATCTAACATGTACGATGTTATTTATGCAAGGTTCTAACATCAAATCGTGTTATAGATTTGTAGCTCCGATTCACCTGTATCAAGATCCTTGGTTAAGCTCAATTAACATTGAAATAACAGCAGAAAAAAAAAGTGTGTTTTTACTTAATTTTCATACGATGAAACGCAGAATTATTATCAATGAAAGATTATATATATAACTAATCTAATAAACTTAACGTTTTTTAAGAAGTCACAGAAAAACAATGCGTCAGAGAAAAAGAAAGCTCGAGTGATTCATTGATAAAAGTAAGAAAATAAAGTTTAAAAATAAAGACGGAAGTTTATTAATCGAATAAAAAAGTAAGTACATTTTCACGCGTCAAAAAGAAGTTCGAGGTTAAAGATAAAGCCTTTGTTCCTAAAGAACAAGGATAAAGTTAAAGTTTTCATCCTGAAGAAGGAAGACTAAATAAAGGTAACAAGAACAAGTGATGAACAAATATCAAAAACATAAAAAGATATTATAAGAACGAAATATTCTTTGTTTTTGATTTCGCCAAAAGCGTTATCCTTAATCTTGAAATGATAGATTGGAGGGAAAAGAGCAAGGTAGTCAACACCACTAACCGCCAGTTCCTTTTTTATCAGAGATTTAACGCAATTATTATAACACACCTACACAACTTTGTTTTGGCGGTAACGAAACACGAACCACGGAATCTCAGTTCCACAGTCCGGTGCGCTAACCGCAGATCCGTGATCTACACAAACTAAACCTGTAAATATAAAAGTTTAGGTTTATATATCGAAACAGTACAAACAAAACAAAAAAAAAGAAAGAAATGGAACAAAAAAATGTGATCAAGGCAATAATAGAAACGTAGTGAGAGAATGTAACGATGAAAAGAATTGGGGAAATATATACAGAATAACGTGGTGTATAAGTGAAAGTACAAGTTCCAAAAATAGAAATATCAGGAATTTATCTAAATCTTTGAAAGGGGTATTGGCTCCTACTTTTATATTCATCCATAGCTGAGGGGACGGATCGTTTTCAGAGGAGTCACTTCTAGAACCTTGGAACTTTAGATGTGCAGCCCGACACGTTAATCATTAGTCTGCACCGGACTCAAAGATAGTATGGACAATATATTAGGAAGAGATTGTAGTTAAACAGACGGATAATTAAAATAAACAATACAAGGTGATTAAATAACAGTCAGTCGAGTTACCCTGTTAACAGTTGCATCTTCCTCACAAAACACAATTTCACGAAAACTAAAATATTCCTTACATCATAAGACTTACGCCCATTCATTATTAGGAAAATTTACATTTCTAGAATAAGATATAAAAACTTCCCTTGAGGTTACAGGAGATACAATGGCGTTATATCCTAAAACTGAGACAGAGAGTAAATTGTGTGTGATTAGTCTATTTATGTGTTTTGTTTATTGTATAGTATCAACACTTGCAAAGCCTTATACTGTCGTGACTACCTTTATATACATAGAAATTCAAATATTCATAATACCAAAACAGGCAAAGTGCTCCGAAAAAAATGATTTTTTTAAATTTCGTGCAAAGCTACACGAGGGCTCTCTCCGCTAGCCACCCCTAATTTAGCAGTGTAAGACTAGAGGGAAGGCAGCTAGTCATCATCACTCAGGGACTACTCTTTAAACAACGAATAATGGGATTGACCGTCACGTTATAACGCCCCCACTGCTGAAAGGGCGAGCATGTTTTGTGGGACGGAGATTCGAACCCTTCAGATTGCGATGATCTTAGTGTTCGTAAATTCTTATATTTTAGATGGCGCCGTACTTTGATTACCACCTCTTGTGTGTGACTTTTTGTATGTTCCTTTCTGGATGATTTTGGTTACCCCAAGATGATCCATATTAATTTTTTTCCCTAATGCCATTAAAAACAGAAATACCACCGTTTGGAAATTTTAAATCCGCATATTTCTGATTTGAGTGGAAGAATATTTTGTTTCTGAAAGGGCTTGTCACATACGCTTCCAAATACCGATCAATTTTTCGGTGGTATCACACCACCTACGAAAAGAGAAACAATGTCAAAATGCAGTTCTGATACATTGCGGTCCACCGCAACTTTATACTGACTGTGGTTCTCACGTGACTTGTGTATTCAAAATCATTTTATTATAACTTTCTCAACCTTATGTAGTTAGAGGTAAAGTCTAGAGAAAAATGAAGACTAGGAAGAAAGAGAAAGGTTTAATGATGGTTGTAACACAAATTGATAAGATAGATGAATTAATAATGTAGATAAGATAGAAATGAAGATAGATTAATGCAACTTGAGAAAAAAAAAGCAAAGCTTAGGGAGGATTGAAAAAGCTAGAAGCTAGAAGAATCAATAGTGAAAAATGTCTAAAGATGTCTGTGAGGCAAAAGGACAAGATGGAGAAATTAGTATTGGAAAAAAAGAGAAACGTGCTAAATGATGGTTAGATAATAGAAGAAAATAAAGAAAGAACCGTATTAAATTATTACTTGATAAAAGGTAATGTTAGATGAATTGATTGTGGAGAGAAGGAGAAACGTCTAAAGGTGACTATAACAAAAATTTGTTTGTTTGTAATTAAGCACAAAGCTACACAATGGGCTATCTGTGCTCTGCCCACCACGGGTATCGAAATCTGAATTCTAGCGTTGTAAGTCCGCAGACATACCACTGTGCCACTGGAGGGCTAACAAATGATAATAATAAAGCCGAATTAATAATAAAGAGCTTTTAATAAGAAATACCTAAAAAGATAGATAGACAAATGAAAAATAGCCAGAGATAGCGAGACGTATAGAGATGACTGTTTAACATAAATATAGAGTGATTAATTTCAAAGAAAAAGATATATGCCCAGAAGTGAAAATAACACAAAACGATAACATATATGAAATAGTAACTATTAATAGAATTAATAGTTTCTTTGTTTTGTTGAATTTCACGTAAAGCTACTCGGGGAAAGCAGTAAGTCACAACACCCACCGCTACTCCTGGGTTGCTATTACACCATAGAAAAGGGGGTTTGACCGTCACATTTTAATGCCCTCAGAGCAGAAAAGGCGAATATGTTTGGTGACAGGATTCGAACACGCAACCTGCAGATTGAAAGCTGGTAGCACTAATCACCAGGCTACGACGAGTCCTAAAAATAACATTCACGTAAAAGGATATCCTAGCTTGAAGAATGATGGAGACAAATAGAAATGTCCCTAAGATAAAAAGTATAATAGTGAATGTAGAAGGCTTAGAGATGGCTGAAAGGTAAAAGAAAGAATGAACAGTGAAATAGACAAAATATAGAAATTACTGTTGAATTTAAGAAGAAAATAAAACAATGAGCTACGAAAGGAAAAGAAGGGTATGCAATATATTTTTCAGACGAAAGAAGAAGAAGATGAAAAGATAAACCGTAAAGAGAAAACGATACGTGTGTGGATGACTAAAGACCGAAGAAGATGATAGTACGATGAGTGGTGAATGATGATCAAGAGAAAAATCCCGATATGTTTGTAATGAAAAGTTTAGAGGAGTGAGTTATAAGAGAAAGAAAAAGAAAAGTCTAGAGATGTTTGCTCATTGAAAAGAAGTTTATGATAATCAATAGTAAAGAAAAAAGAGAAATCTTTAGAGACGACAATAAAACAAAATTACAAATCGACATAAAGAGAATAAAAGAGAGAATAACGGATATAATTGTAGCACAAGAAGCAGAAGAATGAATGTTGCAAAAAATTAAAATTTTAGAGCATGTGAAATTTAAGAATGTAAAAAATAAATAATAAGAGAGAAATATTAAGATTTGTAGATGCCTGAAAGAAACAAAAATATAAGATTGAAT